TGTGTCAACATACAATGAGCTTGTTACATGGTAACGTTTCACAATAAGACTCTTCAATGGTTCAGGCAACAGAGCTACTTAGTTGGGAAAACGCTGCGGTCGGCGTTCGGCTGACGGACTAAAGACACTCGGGACCTGAAATCTGGCCTCCTGGGTAATAAGACAGCATTTCTTTTGCTGCTTTTAATTCCATGAATGTTTGACCCAGCTACAGCAGACGTGTGTGTGTGTGTGTGTGTGTGTGTGTGTGTGTCTGCTACCTTTTGCTCCGTATTGAAACAACTGGGTTGAAAAACATCCATGTATTTTTTCCCCCTCATGTGTTATCAGCAACCTACGCGTCACTCAGGTGACCACGCACGCAAACACACACCGCCCACAGGAACAAACCTGCCAGGTACGTCATGGAAAGCCTGGCTGTGTTCGCGTGGGAGAGACACCGCGCAAAGGTTTGACCAGGTGAGAGGAGTCACGGAAACGGTTGCCGTGGCGACCTCTTCGCCGGCTGGTGCTGCAGGTGTCGATGACGTCGCCGCCGATTGATAAACAGCAATGGAGCGAGGTGACCGGAGGCAGCACGCGAGGACATCTGGAGGACACGCCGTCCTTTCTCAAACTCGCCGGGTGAACTGAACGAGTAAACACGCGCACGCACACGTACACGCACGCGTACACGCACGCGTACACGCACACTGGCAGGGACGGAAATCCACATCACGGTATTAAGAAAGATTCTGACGGTATCCCGGTATATCACAGTATTGCTTTTTCATTAATTCATTGACCCCGAAAAGGAGTTAGCATGTTAGCTAGTTAGCGTGTTAGCTTGTTAGCGTGTTGGCGCTGCTAGCGTTGCCACCGGAGGCTCGAGCGACTTTGCAGCAAATCGTGTTCTGATGCAACGTTCTCCAAACGGACTCCGCTCCTCTTGTGTTGGTGCCTCTCTGGTCTCTCGTTGTTCCTCCTGTGTCGCTCTTTTCCGTGTTTTCATGTAGCAGCAGAGTCACCTGTTGTGGCGCGGACGATGCGGTCGTTGTAGTTCTATTTTTTAACTCCGGTCACGTTTAAATCTAAACGGGACGAAACCAGACGGCAACCTTCGGTTTTTGCAGAACGTCTCACAACTTGCATTCTCACGATCAACCACCAGGGGGCGACTCGTCTGGTTATACAGCAGTGGAATGAGACGCCACTCGGACGACGTATTCCCTCTGTGAACACGGGTTCATGGTGTCGACCTCTAGTCGATGGTCCACTTAGAGCCACAAAAGCGTAACGCAGAATGAATTGGTTAATTCATCAGGGGGATGATGTCCTTGTTCCGGAAACTACCGGGATTTCACACGGAAAAGATCGTTGACAGAAGCAGTTGGAACGTTGTGTCATTTGGAACTTTGGAGAAGAACGTGCCTGAGGAACGTTAGAATCCAACGTGCATCGAGTGGATCATCACACACACACACACACACACACACACACACACACACACACACACACACACACACACACACACGTCTGCCTCCCGGTTTGTTTGACAACAAATAGGCTACTAAGCCAAACTGTCAATGACGAACCCTTAAAGGGGTTTGGAAATAAAAATAAAGCAACGGGTTTTTCTTTCCACATTTACAAATAACATACAAAATATATGCTGTAACTTTATTATCAATAGCAAACTATTGAAACACCTTCAGTTTTGAACGAATCTGCTGAGCGTTTAAACGCGTCTGCTGTGACGTCACCAACAACCAACGGCTGAACGTAAATCTTACTTTGCTTTTTATGAATGGAAAACGATTTAAAGGCGCTGACAGTTTATTACAACAACACATAAACCTCAAACAGACACGATACGATGTGACTATTGTCACATCATCGGACGCGAGCGACGACGGAAACACGCCGCTTGTAACCGAGACGAAGCGCGGCGAGATCCACCAGGGCCGCAGTGTCCCCCTCCTCTCCCCCTCCTCCCCCTCTCCCCCCCCTTCCTCCTCCCCCCGACCACCCGCGCGAGCAGCGATGTATAATAATAATAATAAGTGCGGACGCGCCGCGGCCTGCCGAGAACAGCTGTAGCGCGGCGGCGGACCCGTATGCGGCCTCACTGGACCGGACCCGCGTACTAGTGAGGCCGCGCGGCTGATGAAGCTCGTTCCGGGGCGGTCCGTCGGTCCTTTACCCGACTCGCCCGTCGTGACACTGACGGGATAAAAGCGCAGTGCGTGTGTGTGTGTGTGTGTGTGTTGCGTTCACGGGCAGCTGTCAACGTGTCTCGTCCCGCAGGGACACCGGGGGGACACGACACACTCAC